GAACGTAATCAGACCATCTAGACAGCACCAGGGAAATCTAATGACAAGAGGAAAACACAGGGGAAAGGACCAGAAAATAACCCAAAGGAAACATGACATGGAAACAGCAAAAACACCAAAACTACAAAACTATAAACGTGACATAACATTGAGAATCGTGACATAACCCCCCCTCAAGGGACGATTCCAGACGTCCCCAAGAAAAACAAAAATTCAGCAGGGTGGGGTGGAGGGGTCTGGAGGACGGGTCTTCGTTGCGTACGGCCGGGTGCAAGGCAGAGTTCAAAAAAGGGGAAATTCGGGGCGGACGGCCCGGGGGCAAGGCAGAGTTCAAAAAAGGGGAATTCGGCGCGGACGGCCCGGGGGCAGGCAGAGTCCATGGAGGGAATCTCGGCGCGGACGGCCCGGGGACAAGGCAGAGTCCGAGAGGGGTGAGACCAGAAGCTCCCGGAAGGCGGTCAGGAGCCGGTGTCGGCAAGATCCCCCATGGAAGAAGGCACAGGACCGGAACAGGACCCCCGGGCAAGGAGAGCAGTCGGCGGGATCCCAACGCGACAGGACATGTGAGGTTGGCAGGACCCCCAGCCGAAGAGTAGTCGGCGGGACCTCCAACGTGGCAAGACATGGAGTTGGCAGGACCCCCGGCAGAAAGAGCAGTCTGGCGGGAACCTCCAACGGCTCAGGACATGGGGTTGGCAGGAACCCCGGCAGAAAGAGCAGTCCTGCGGACCTCCAACGGCTCAGGACATGGAGTTGGCAGGACCCCCGGCAGAAGAGTAGTCTGCGGGATCTCCAACGGCAACAGGACATGGGGTTGGCAGGACCCCCGGCAGAAGAGTAGTCTGCGGGACCTCCAACGGGACCAGACATGGAGTTGGCAGGACCCCCGGCAGAAGAGTAGTCTGCGGGACCTCCAACGTGACCAGACCTGGAGTTTGGCAGGAGCCCTCGGCAGAAGCGCAGTCTGCAGGACCTCCAACGGCTCAGGACATGGGGTTGGCAGGACCCCCGGGCAGAAGGGCAGTCTGCGGGACTCCCAACGACACTTGAAGTGGGTTTGGTTCGCCAACAGAACCCGGGGAGCTTGGCGTCGGACGGACAGCCAACCAGGAGACGAGGTGGCTGGAGTCGGCCGGTACTCCGACAAGACACGGGAGCTGGCGTCGGACGGACGCCATCAGGACAGGGGGAGCTGGCGTCGGGACGACAGCCAACAGGAGACGATGGTGCTGGAGTCGGCGGTATGCCGACAAGACACGGGGAGCTGGCGTCGGACGGACCAGCCATCAGGACACCGGGGAAGCTGGCGTCGGACGGACAGCCAACAGGAAGACGAGGTGCTGGAGTCGGACCGGTACGCCCGACAGACACGGGAGGCTGGCGTCGGACGGACAGCCCAACCCGGAGACGAGGTGCTGGAGTCGGCCGGTACGCCGACAGGATCGGGGAGCTGGCGTCGACGGACGAGCCAACAGGAGACGAGGTGCGCGGAGTCGGGACCTGGTTACGACAGGACTCGAGGAGCTGGCGTCGGCCGATGAGTCAGCAGGTGACGAGGAGCCGGAGTCGGGACCATGGTTACTGGAGCCGGCACTGAAGCCGGGACCATGGCTGTAAGGTCCGGTTCTGGAGCCGGAAACATGGCTGTAAGGTCCGGTTCTGGAGCCGGAAACATGGCTGTAAGGTCCCGCTCTGGGGCCGGAAAGATGGCTGTAAGGTCCGGTTCTGGAGCCGGAACCCTGGCTGCAGGGCGCGGAGCGGAAGCCTGGACCCTGGCTGTGTAAGCCAGGTAATGGAGTATGGAAGCAAAGCTGCGTGGGCCGGCACTGGAGCACGGAGCCACGGCTGCTGGGTCTGGCGCTGGAGCCGGAACCATGGCTGTTGGGCGCGGGACCCTGGCCTTGCGTCTCTTAGGAGTTTTTTGGAGGCTTCGTGGACCCCCAAACTCCAGACCAGAACCCAAGAAAGGGTCAGAAAATGAGGACTGGCTCTCAGGGCTACGTGAAAAAATCCTAAGCCACTCGGGCAACAAGCTCCAGAGCCAGGGCTTGCGAGCAACCTCCTGACGTGTCTCCTTCAACGCAGCCTCTCTACCCCGTCTAGATGAGGCGCCTTTCCACGTATAAAAAATATACTCCAGAGAATATCCAAGACGTTCCGCCTGTAGCTTAAAAAGGTCTGCTGGGTCCATTTTAAGGTTGGTTCGTACTGTCACGGTTTGTGAAACAAGCAGGACCCAAATGCAGATATCAACTGAAACTTCCTTTATTTCAAGGCTATGATATATATAGACAATGGCAAAACAGAACACTCACCGCAGAACTAGTCAGGGAACAAGACGAACCGACCAAGACAGACAGACAACCCAGAACTTAAATACACACAAGACTCAATCACACAACAAGACACAGGTGAGGAGAAAACACAGGGACCCAGGTGAACATAATCAGACAATTAGACACACCAGGGAAACTAATGACAAGACAATAACCCAAAGGGAAACATGACATGGAAAACAGCAAAAACACCCAAACCTACAAAACTATAAACGTGACATAACATGAGAATCGTGACAATTTGTGTGTACGCACCATAGGACTTTTCTAGCCGACTAACGGTTGGTCGACTATTTGAGGGCAGCCCTAGTTGAGATTTTCATTTAAACAACTCCTTTTTTTTCTCCCTTTTCTTTTTCTTTTGTATTCAGAGAATAAGTGGCTGTGTTAGTGGTAAAACAAAACTCTTCTTTTGGCATCCCACAACATGGCTATGAGTGATCAACGACAGGCAGAACCCAAAACAAATAAATTCACAAAATGCTTACATGGCGTTTAGGAAGATTTACAAATGAGACCAAAAAAAGCCCATATGTATGCAAAAGAGACAAAGATCAGTTGTTATACTTACAAGCATTTAGAGTGAAATAATAAGTGTCTTTTATGAGAATTGATGGTGTCTGAAACACATTTACAATTGGGATCCGCTCCAAAAAAAAATTAAAGCGGCCAAAATCATAAAAATATAAGAAAGAAATATAACTCAAAGCAAAGTGCCGCTGAGGCACCCGTCAGCGAATCTTACGCATGGGTAAAAATCAAGGCCCGAGCAAAAGTCGTTTCAGTGCACTTTATTATACACATCAAGCATTTTTCTTCCTTCTTACCCGATGGTAAAAAACCATAAGCCTACCGGGTGCCGCTCACTACCACCTGTTTCCCATATTTATAATGAGCAGGTCTCCCCTCCCCCGGTGCCCAAAGGCTGCCTTTACAAAAACAGAGGCCTAGTACAACTTATTTGATAAACTTAAATAGGAATTAAGAGGAAGATTTACTATAAACAAAAAGGAACACTAAAATAAATGGATAACTATTAAATAATATAAGCTCCTAGATATGGCTTCATCAAATAACATAGTAAGATACAATACAAGTTGTGTCATTAAGAGTTCAGCTCTCCTACAAAAACAAAAAACAAGATTAAATCAATGAAGAATGTTATGCTCCACTGTCGAAATGTGCAAAGCGTCTTGCATCAGTTATCTATCAACTCAAAACATTTCTCAAATGTTTTAAAACACTCAATAACAGATAACAAAAATAAGTGAATGTAATGAGTACTTTCCTCCTTAATAATTGAATTAATTGCTAATAGTAGTTATTTTGCATCTCTAATGCATCACTAATTACAATAACATTAATAATACATTTATTTTGACCAGTGCTCAGAACTCAAAGGCACTTTACATGAGACTAATAGCAATAACTAGTCAATAAAAGTACACACATTAAAAATAATAATGAAATCTCATGATAATAAATATTTGCCACCTTCTGAATCATAACCATGTTGTAACTGATATTTAATTAATTGTGTAATGATTTAAGGAAGATATTTTATAATTGTAATCCTATCTTCTTTGACTTCCTGCTTTGCCATTCAGCCAATCGGATGTGACGGAGTACTGTTCTCCTCCAAGACCTTGGATAAGTGTGGTGTCTGTCAAGGGGACGGCAGCAGCTGCAGCAGAGTCAACGGAAACTTCCGCCGTGGGGCCACGACTCTCGGTGAGTTGGAGTTTAAGTATCCCAGGCTATCCTCCTACAGATGTTTTTTTTAAATAGTGCCCTTAGTTCAACCAGAAAAAAGTCTTCTTTGTTAAATAAACAACATAAAATGAAAAAGACTGAAATGATACTGACCACTTTCGATTTCCTTTCGTCAAGGTTACTCGTTTATCACTCAAATCCCTGAAGGATCCTGGGACATCCAGATAATTGAAAGGAAGAAGTCGGTCGATGTTCTCGGTGGGCACTTCCTCTTTTCCTGCTCCACACAAACAATGTATACTTCCTGATTTCAAACACGAACTTACGCACAAAAGCTTGACTGTCTTTGAAATGTTCAATGGAATTTAAGTCAAATTGAACCTGGTCGAGAGAAATGTCTTACTTGAATCTCAGAGTTTTCCATTCATCTTGTCCCCCAGCTGTGACTGACCAGGCCGGTAACTTCTTCTTTAATGGAGCCTACAAGGTAGACAGTCCCCAGAACTTCCATGCAGCAGGCGCCGTCTTTAAATACCGCCGGCCTATGGATGTGTATGAAACCGGAATCGAATACATCGTTGCCAAAGGCCCCATCGACCAGGCCATCAATATTCTGGTACACTCAACACTCAAGCCTCTCTATCTGTTATATCATAATCAAAGGGACCCGATGTTGAAGTATTAATGAAATCGGCAGGATTTAAAAGCTAACGCATGGCCTCCCATCACTGCTAAGCTAAACGCAGTCTTGTGTCTGTGTGATGACAAATGTTATGTTGGAGAACGAAACATGAAAATCTCTTAGGCTTGTGTTAACCACAAACCTTTTTTTTAGGCTTCCTTTTTTGTTACTGTTGAATTGGAAACAAGGGAACCGGAAGTAGTACAATGCAAAGTTACTTTTAGGATAGGAGCACCACTCTATTGCATAAAACGGGTAATCTGTGGAAAAACAATCAGTCTCTTTTTTCTCCTCAAGTTTTCCTAATAGCATTCCATCCCACCAACCAAAAACCAATCAGAACAACCATTTGCCTTCATTGCTTAAGAACTTTGATTAAATTGTCAAAATTGGCCGTGCTGATCAAATATTAATCCAGATTCTGTTACCGAGACCCCATTGTTACCTTATGATTATTCTATACATTGTTTCATTAAATCGCCTTTAACAACCATGCAATCCATCCCGCAAGTCTGCGCTGCACGTTGTCCCGCGGAAACATAATCTCAAAATATGCTCAAACTCTTTCAAAGTTCAATCATACTATAAATAAAGTAAACCTTTTTCACAAACTTTTATTAGGTATTATATTAGAAGATATTCTGAAACACTTTAAAATGGATGGCAGTTCAGGAGTTCCGGAGGTTTAAAAACAATGGACTAAGCCCAACATTTGAACTGGAATAACATATGTGTTTTGTAAAGGTCCTATTGTGAAATCAGTATGTGTAGCTTTGCTCCTAGTTTTGTTATCAGCTGTTCTTGTTAACTTGTTGACACCAGTGTAAACTAAACTGACATTTCCCTGTCGTCACTCAGGTATGGAATCAGAATGGCCGCACACCGTACATCACATACGAATACACCGTCCTCCGAAACTCCCTGCCCCCCGTCCCGCCTCCTCCCGTCTACACCGGATCAGACACTTCCGCCGGAGAGGTTTCTGTGGAGACGGGGGGTCTGCTGTCCCCTAACACCAGTAATTATGACCAAGCGGCCCCTGAAAGCCAATTGGAGCCAGGAGGTGACGACGGGCAGAAGGGCCAAGAGACCAACGAGGTGTATGAGGAGACAGCATCCATTGACTGCGACCAGGATGGAGCAGCTGGCCCAAAACTGACAGGTAAGGACTGTTATCAGATTGGATCTCTGTGTTATTTAGTGTAGTATTTAGTTCTGATTCAAGTAAAGCTCATTTTGAACTTTTAATTAGGGCCCGAGCACTAAAGCGTTTCGAGAAAACCTACTGTTTTTGCGCAGATTATTATTATACTGCGCTTTAAACGCAAACATTTCGAGGATCAGTATTCTGATTTCTCCACCGTGCGCTCTAGTGCCCCCCTTCTTAAAACGAGCTTTGAAAGGCCATCACTCTCTCCAGGTAAGTCCGATGGACTCGAAACTTGGCACACATATTCGGGTGAATGAGCTCTACAAAAAGTTCTTATGGCACCCCATTCCCCCTATTCTATCAACACTACACTTTAGTTTACGATGCACATGTTCTTCATGTTCATGTGTTTTGGCACATTTGTGTTCTTATATTCGTATCTTTTTTTAAACTGTAGTGCGTCTCTCCCAATGAAATTTTTTTTGGGCATTGAAGTGCTTTGCACCTGTCAGCCAGCATACTTAATACCTGTTTTCCTGTTATTCAGTGGAATTTTCCACTTTTTCAATGCATTTTCTGTCAATCTACTTATCAATACATTAATAGGTTTGTCTTTTTTTTTGTGAACTGTAGTTTATTTGAAACAAACACATCATATTATCCATCTTAACTTTTTTGAAGTGTATGCCAGCGGTCACAGGAATGTGTAGAAGTAAAAGTAACAAAATGCATTAAAAGAAAAAACTCAAGTGTAGTACAAATACCTCAAATGTGTACTTAAGTACCTGAGTAAATGCATTTAGTTACTTTCCACCACTGCAAATAGCACTTTGAGGTTAGAGTCTTAAATGATTGATGCCTACTATGATACAAAAAAAAAACCTTTGCATGGAAGGCCAAAACCAATATATCTGTGATAAGACAATAATGTCAATGCCGATATATTGTCTGTGAAAAAGGAAAAGAAGAACTGAAAGGAAGAGAAAGCAAAAATAGAAAAATAAATCAGAAAGTGGTTCACTGGCAGATATGACAAAATAGGTCAGATTTTACAACTGATATTCCGTCTTTTTGTCTGTGCGTGTGTGTGATAGCCCTTTGGAGCTCTGCAATATTTATGATACAGACACATAAAATGGATCAGCAGCAGATGAAAAATTCAGAGTTTCATGGTGTATTTTTTCTTCCCTTTTAAAATCGGTTGCATCACAAACATGAGCGGTAATGGCCTTCTTGGGGCTCTCAGCTTGTTCAGCTGACTGCCAAGGCCATTACACCACCGCTGCGGGCAGTGAGACGAGATGGGGAGGAGGATGTAAGGCCGACAGCATAGTACAGACCACTGAGCTGAGCTCTGACTTCATCTTCTCAACTTCCCTCTCTGTTTTCATTCACTCAGTGCTCCTCAAAAAGAACATATTCTGCTCATTTTCAGGGTTCATATTTGTATTTTGTGTTCCTCTACTGTGACATGTCTCCATGCTTTAATGTTGAAAAAGCTTTTTATGCACCTCTTTTCACCCTCTGTCTGAAACCAGAGCCCAGTCTGCTCTGATTGGTTAGCTGGCCGGCTCTGTTGTGATTGGTCAACCACTTAGAGATATCCCGCCTCTTAGCAAATCAAGTGCAATGTATTTGAGGGCCAGCAGAAGTGTGAGTGTTACATAGTGATGTCATTATGTTACTGAAGTAAAGAAAGGAGTCCAATGGAAGTCCAATGGGTTGTCGACCCTCCTCTTCGCGTCGGGCCGAACCACGCCCCTTAGCTGTGATATAATGAGCATATACCACGGCCTGTTGTGAGCTATTTCTTAAATATACAACGGCTGTAACCTGATGCTTTAGGAGCTGTAGGTGTGTGTTGTACAGTGTGTAGATGTGTGTTGTACAGTGTGTAGGTGTGTGTTGTACAGTGTCTGTTGTAAAGTGTGTAGGTGTGCGTAGATGCAGCGGACAGATAGNTTTAGGAGTAGTCTACTGTTTTCCGCCCACCTCAATCAAGAAAATAAATAGTGAACTTTTCCCGGAAATTAAATTAAAAATAACAAGTAATGTGCCCCCCTTGGTCCCATCATATTTAATACTAATCGTATAATACTTCAAAAACTATTGTAGAACATAAACGCGTACGACTAATATCTAACGTCCAAGTCTGACGATATCTCCGACAGTTTCGGAGCTCTAAGTCCGTGATCTGAACCAACTATACTGTTCTAACGAGCGGTCACGCCCTACTCTATATGCGTTTTAGGTTCCGTGTGGACAGACGGAGACGTTTTGTCTATCTGTTTGTCTTTGCAGTGTTATTCCACTCTCAGGAATCAGTGGTCCAAAATGGATCCGAGTAAGTCAAACGTGGTCAGCTCATGCCACATGAGGAGATTGGAAAATATGTGTTTGTTATGACCATAGAGTGAACAAGACAAGTCGATCATTCTACGAATAGGTACCTGTTGTAATGCGATCTCACGCCTTTTAGCTCAAGTAGAGAGAGAGAAAACGAATGGGAAGGAGGCAACAACACAACCCACTGGCTTACAGTATTATCTGTGAGCTATCCAAAAAGTTACCATATCAGTTGATCATATTTAAACACAATTTCAATCTACCCTTGGCGGTACGACCGCCAATGTAGTCGTAGAGGGTATCAACCCAAAGTTTTACATCCTTCCTTGACACTACTTCAACAGTTCGAGGTTCTGTGTGTAACGGTCCCCTGATTTTATTTGTGTTTTAGTGAAAGACTTGAGTTATAGTTCAATTATCTCCGACAAGTACAAAATCTGCACCTTATTTTAATGTTAACTTACTCTCTACATAAAGAAAAAGGTGTAAAACCACTTTGACAAAGAATCACGAAATTCACCAATTGTCTTGTGCCGAAATGGCACGTGCCATGACGTAATGTTGTAACTCTAATATATCACTGCGTAGTCATAATAAATAATCGCAGCTCTCCGTACAAATACATGACATTGTCGACGACTTCTCCTGAGCGCTCGACTTCCCACCTTCGCACGTGATACGTCACTCCCACTTTTAGGCCTATCTGTGCTATGGGGTTGACATTTATACAGGAATTTCATTTGTTTCTCCAAGGCGAAAATTTAACTCCTCTAGTGATCACACACTTTACTCATTGGATTCTCATGCTTCACTCCTTATATTAAGTCAGCTCAAACTTGTTTACTTAATACTTGTAGGTTGAGTGATAACAGGTCTAGCGGAAAAACAGGTAGACTACCCATCTAAAAAGTGTTAGGTTACTATGGTGCCTTGGAATAACCCCAAAATAATAATGAATTACATAGAAGTAACCCTACCTAACCTCTTCACTCTTAAATCCAATGATTACTAAATCATTGACTATAAGTTTTATAAATTCATATGATTTTGGAATAAAGGAGGGATGTGACCCTATCTTGTTATATAGACTAAGCAGAGCCGGAACACCATATCTGGTACTCTTTATTGTGTGGGTTAGACGAGTTAATATCCACATATTAGAGTTACAAACTCTTGAATATACCATTAATTTAACGTTCAAAATATACTATTTGAAGTACGAGGTAAACATGTTGTTGACGAGATACAAATTTCCCAGATATATGTTCATATGTAATAGTATTCTAAATGATTTAGTAATTGTACACCTTACATCTCATACTTTCCCGAAAGGACCTCAGACTGAGTACTACTCTGTTCCACCTCGTATGTATAAATTGTGCAAGTAGTCCTGCGGAAGGTACGCATGTACCGACTATTCTCTTATACGGTCGGCTGTCGTATTGTCCAAAATAGGAACTATAGTTGCTGGTAGTCCCATCCCTCTATATGTCTGTCAGCATAAGGGGGTGGAGATCGCGAGCCTTATAAATAGCCTACTTCGAGACTTTTACTGTCACGTAAGAATAAAGTTAATAAACCCGGTAGTTATTACATCGTAATTGAATACAGCGTTAAACGTCAGCAAAGTTCTCACGAAAAAATGAACGTGATAGATTTCATAGTCCCGAGATGTGAACTATACACGTAGTGAAATTAGAAAACAGACAACAGAACTAACCTCTATATAAAGATCTACTAAAATTTGTAAGTAAGGGTCTTGACACCATAAACAGAGTGGACAGGAAGAAGTATTGGGTCGATTTCGTATATCAGGTACCTACCCCTTTTGACGCTGCAGCACTAATATCCTAAGGTGAACTTATTTCCTGTTCGACATTAAGGGTTTTACTATAATATATGTAATGATGTGTTCTCTCCGTAACTAATTCTCACCGTGAAAGAATACCAAGCCGCAGGATTGACCCCTTGTCCATTGAGGCGTCATTTTTTCACGCCTATGGTTTCTGACGGAAGAAATCCATCCCTACTCCGATCTCATGACACTACATAAGACATATTAATTCCTCCAACTACCGCACGACTGTTACTATATTTGTTACTAAACGTCAAAGTTAAACAAACAACTATAACTCTATATATCGTGTGACTACTTGTGCGTATGTGCGCAGGATAGAATGAGTAAAGACATAAGGGGTTCGCTCTCTTCTCTTCCAACTTAACGTATTTGATATGTTTGTCTATTCAACATTACTGTCTCCAATGAGACTTTAATCACAAAAAATCTTTCTATCTTCATAGTCCTACGAATTGAAGATCTAGCAATGTAAAATATCAAACACTATGAGCTACTCCTATC